GCAACAACTAAGTTTAGCCTGGTATGTCCTGCTCTAATTAATTAAATTGATTAGCAGAAATGATAACAATTAGAGATGAGATTGAGCATAGTATCAAAGGGGATGGGAAACAAAAAACATTTAGTCCAACCAAGCCAGGAGCTATGGCATCTTTAAGCCATCTATGAAACTCATCTGTGACATTTTTAGAGTACAGCAAAATGAAGGAAAATTAATGAAGAATTAAGCATGCTTCAAGAAGCATGACAGGAAAAATTGCCAGAAAGCAAAAGGTTGCTTCTCCTTTTACCTTTTTAAAATAATGTGCGTAGGATATCCAGGTCTCAGGATGTTGGGTCAAAGAATTTCTATCCGTCTCTCTTCCGTATACAGGGAGACAAATCTCAAGAAAAGTGGTAGTGGAAGATGAGAAAGTTTTGTTTGTGTATTTAGCATCTTTAATGTCTGGGTGCCTAACTGGCATTTCCAGCTTGCACCAGATCACTGCAAGAGTGTTTTTATTTTTGTCATACACATTTGTTTAGGAGTTGCTGCAGGAAATTTCCAATTTTTGCTTTTCTCTCTTGCCAGGCATGCACGTGCTACATCTGTGCCTGAATTATTCTGAAACTGTGACACATGGGCCTGCCCCTCTTCTCAGATGTTGAACTTGGAAAATGGACAGATGGTGACTGGCAACCTGATTTGTGACACTTGCAGCAGTTACACATGTCTGAGAACACAAAGGAAAAGGATGTGAGAAAGTAATTTAATAGTATAAATTCTGAGCAAGTACTGCATTACTTACAACTACTTGTAATACCTACAGTATTCAATCTGTACACTGGTTCAAAAATAACAGCAATAAACCAGTGTAAACAGTTCTAAAAACCTTCAGATTGAATACTGTAGGTATTACAAGTAGTTGTAAGTAATGCAGTCATGTGAGCTTCTCATCTGCTTCTGGTGCTGAAACAAAGAGAAATAATTTAGTTTGCTCTTTTGTAGATCAAGACTGTTTAATAAGTAGCTGGTGGTTGGCCTTCATCCAACTAAAACACACAGTAGAGTATTTAAAGAAAAGTTAACTTACTGTCATGGTGAATGTGAATATTTCCCTAGCCAGCTCTTTTTTCTCACTGGCTAATAAGTTATGGATGCTTGCATTTAAGTATTTTCAAACTTAATGATCCCTTTTTAAAATATTCAACAGTCTTTATTAATTAATTTTTAAAAATAAAAACAACACAACATCTGGTGGCATCACTAACTGTAACATTTACATTGCAGTCCTCTTCATGGCTTCTCAGAAGTAACACTCCTAGAACTCTATTAAATTTTGTAGCTGCTTTTCAAAATGGTAGTTTTTCTGTAGTTATATTGTAAATATAAGGGATGAAATTCCACCAGTTAGGGGCCATCATTGAGAAGGACTTCTCAATAGTATCCGTTGATCTCTTATTGGTGGGTGAGTGAGTAGGTCCTCCAAAGATTATCTTAAAACAGGCAAAGTGAATTTCTGAGGAGTTGCTGCAAAGTTGCAGTTATTTTTATATTTATTATATGAAATATTCTATCTAATTCTATTTTATTTTAATCTTGGCCAACAAATAGATGAATTTAAACTGAACTAGAATTGCAGGTAACCTAGACTTCTTAGTAATTTCCGTATCCCTAAAGGCAGATTTTCCTTTTATGCATGCACATCACCCCATCTCCTCTACTTGTTTTTCTTTGCTCCTCTGCATCCAGAACCTGAGTGTTAGTCTGGGTCAAAGAGGCCTGAATGAGGCAAGGGTGTGGTGTATGTCAGGAATGTTGATGTCCAAGATGGCGGTTGTCCAGGTGTAGTGATGGCAGCACAGTGAGAGGAAACCAGGGAAGGAAGATGCCTTTGGGCCCCACCTGAGACATGGAGGAGGAAGGCAAGAGGGGCAAGGAGGGAGGAGAACTAGGGGCCATAGGAGGAGGCATTTATTTGGGCTTGACAGGAAGGGCTCTTCACTGAGAGGGCTTTTTTGGGGGAGAGAACATATGAAAGGAGAGTTGTTTCCACCATCAAAAAAGTAAAAGTCAAAGTGTGTTGACATTTTAATTACATTTTATCTCTTAAAGGCAGATTTACAGCCATCCCATAATTATGTATTATTAGATTAATATTAATAGGTTGTGATAGAATCATATTCTGGGAAAAATATTTTGTTTTATCTACCCCATTAGACTGCCTTTTAATGTAAATGTGGCACGGGGGAGGGTCCACAGGGAACTTGGTTGTTATAAAAAGGGGCCACAACTTGAAAAAGTTCGGGAAACACTATTCTAGATGTTGTTGCACTGCAGCTCTCATCATTCTTTGCCATTGGCCGTGCTGGCTGGGGGTGATAAGAGTTGTAATCTAAAAACATATGTTGGACCACACCACCTAAAAACATGAGCATATTCACAACTGGTGGAGAGAGTCCTTCAAATATACTCAAAGGCATAAATTCAACTGCTAATCCCAATTCATCCCATTGAGTGAATTGCTAAAGAGTAAGTCAATAATTATGTAAATATCATTGTTTCAAGAAAACTACTCCAGCTGGGACAAGCAATTAGACCACAGTAAAGGATTTATCATGCAGTCCTAAATCAAAGATGTACCAACTGTAGAGAGTTTGGAATAGATAGAAGTATATTATGCTAAGAGCCCCTTTGCTTGCTTGCTGAGCTCAGGGATCTTCCAGAAACATTGCTTCACTGGCTAAGATCTGTCAGCAGGAGAGCCAAAAAATGAGAGACCTTCTCAATTTGAGGGATACAACTACTACATCAGCACCAAGCTGGGAAATGGTAATTTCCAATATTCTTGGGGTGCTATCTCTGGCATTCATTGTTGCATGAGCTTTTGTAGTCAAGAACTTACTTCATAATGTATATGAAATGAGCAAAAAATGTATGTGTCAGAGAAGTTGAGAGCAATGCCATCAGGACACTAGACTCCATTACAAGTCTGGATTCCAAGTCAGTTCAAAATGAAACAAGTGCTGGAAGATGAGACTCCAAGATCGGAGAGCACTCAATCATTGACTGGGGAACAGTAAAGGACAAGTAATAATATAATGGAAGTATGGAAGTGAGAGCTGGACCATAAAGAAGGCTGACTGCCGAACAACTGATGCTTGCGAATTGTGGTGCTGGAGGAGACTCTTGAGAGTCCCCTGGACTACAAAGAGAACAAACCTATCCATTTTGAAGGAAATCAACCCTGAGTGCTCACTGGAAGGACAGATCCTGAAGCTGAGGCTCCAATACTTTGGCCATCTCATGAGAAGAGAAGACTCTCTGGAAAAGACCCTGATGTTGGGAAAGTGTGAAGGCAAGAGGAGAAGGGGACAACAGAGGAGAAGATGGTTGGACAGTGTCACCGAAGCTACCAACATGAATTTGACCCAACTCCGGGAGGCGGTAGAAGACAGGAGGGCCTGGCGTGCTCTGGTCCATTGGACACGACTTAATGACTAAACAACAACAACAACTAATATAAAGATGCAACTAAATTAAAGCAGAAATGATGTCTGGTGGATGATGTGCACAGAGCTGAAAGGAAAGTGCAAAGCTGCACAACATACAAAATTGGCATATAGAAACTGAGAAGTATGAATTAAGGGACACTGGAACCCAGAGGCTTGAGTTTACAAGAGCTGAGCAGGGCAGTTGAGGACTGGACATTTTAGAGACCACTCATTCATAGTCGCCATAAGAAAATACTTATTTAGGCATTTCATAATTAAAGTATTCCATGTGCAACTACAAGAGAGACGGGGGGGGGGGAGAGAGAGAGAAAGAGAAAGAGAAAATAATTTTTGGGAAAGAATAGGCTCCAAAAGCTGAGGCTTTCCTTGACTGAGGACCAGCTGACAGACTGGCTGCTACTTTTACATCTGAGGTAGAGGAATGTGAATGAGAGTGAAGGGGGTGTAACTGCTGGAAGTTCCTTTAAGCAGCTGCTCTGAGGTCTGGTGTGTTTTGGGGAGAGATTTGTTTTTCTTTCCCAATGATAAACATAAAGAGAGAGTGAAACACCGTTCTTTTCTGAAGGCAGATTTAAAATGCAGATGCTATCACTTGGCAAGCAAATGCTACTTATTTGTGGGGAAGTTAACCCTTTTCTTCTGTTTTGTGTGTAAACAGAAATATCTTTTTAAATGCCTCAGCGTTCCTCCAAGCATCCCTATTAAGTCCCCGCTCCAACCCGGGATAATTTTGCAGCCAGGTTAGAAAGCGATTCTGGCACTCAGTACAAGATGTACTGATTTTTTTAAAAAAATCCAAATCAGGTTTTGAACGCCCAAGGCAGAGCATGAGTAAACTGGGTACAAGGGGGCGTACTGGTTAAACCTGTTGTACTAACTCCAACACTTTCCCATGGAAAATGAGTGGAGAGATTTTTTGAAACAGTTAGCTTCAAACATCCTGTTGTTGTTTAGTCGTTAAGTCGTGTCCGACTCTTCATGACCCCATGGACCAGAGCAGGCCAGGCCCACTTGTCTTCCACCGCCTCCCAAACATCCTACACAGCCTTAAAATGATGGGTGGGGGATTGGGTGGGGGAGAAGGCAGAATCTGGTTCCAATTTTCTCAGAAGTAATACTACATCTTTTAACCCAGATGGCGGCAGGTCCAGGTATACTCCTTCTGTTGATGCAGGTATTTTTCTTGTTACATGCCATCGTTTAAGAGAGATGGTGACGCTTAACGAGGTGTCAAGGGATGTGCGATAGTCACAGAGGTTCACTATTGCCAAGCGCTTGCCCCCCCCCCGTTAATTTTTATCGTCCAGCTGAGATTTGAACCCAGGTGTCCCCAGTCCTAATCCGACACTGTCTATGACATACATCCTTCTAGCTGTCGTGCCCGTACCAAGGACAGAGAAATTCACTCTGCACATGCCCCAAGGGCCGCCTCTTCATTCCACTTCACACACACCCTCAAAATCCCAAGCTAGCGAAGCCTTTGAAAGCTCTTCCTTTCAGCCCCTAAAAGGCTTTTCCCGGGCTTCTTTCTGGCTACCTGTGCCGCCTGCGGGCCCGCCCACTCTCTGGTTCCCGTCCACACCCCTTGGGCTCCCAGGCCGCCTTTCTCCGCGACGCAGCCTTGAGAGGGCGGGCCCGGCAGCAGCCGCCGCACCACCTGGCCCAGGTGAGGGGAGCGAGCTGCGGAGACCCACGGCGGCGGCCGGCCGAGGAGCCCGTCCGAAGAGCACCCGAGCGGTGAGTGCCGAGGGGAAGGGGGCGAGAAACGGCGCGCGCGGGGGAGGGAAGCCCTTAACCCGCGTGGAGCCACAGACTCACCGGGATAAGGGCTTAGAGGAGTTTCCGTCGCTTCCCCAGGACAGAGGAGGCCTGTGGTTGGCCCTCCATGGGCTTCCACGAATCCTGCCTAGACTCGCGTGTTTTTACTCGTCCGGTGCCCTTCCGGACCGTGTGTTCCTTTTAGAAGAAAAAACTCCTTTTGATTACGCCGTGTGGGCTGGAAAATTCTAGGAAAAGTAATTCAAAGAAGTAACTTTTCCCGAGTTTGGAGTCCTTTCCTCGTTCCCCCCTCACCTTCTCAAGAGAAAGAGCATTCATCCCCACGGGTGGTCCCCTTAAGCGCGCCTTCTTGTGGACTTTTTCCCCTTCTCTGTCCCCCCC